GAGAAAGATGCGACTGTGGTCCGCTCTACACAGGTATGCAAAATGAAACAAGAAAATTTCTGCCCGCCTCGAGTATCTACAGCAATGCCAGAGTCACTGCAATACTTTAGATTACAAACCACAAGATTTGCAGAAGATTAAGATTGCTGCTATGTATATATTCCTTCTGCCCCTGCAGCACTGACCTGCACAGGGGATGCATATCTCACAGATAAATGAAAGAGAATATACCTTGCCCACGAGGCCACGTGAATGAGGGAACAACTAACTAAAGCATTGTGAAGTTAATCTTGTACATAGACAATAAACAAACCAGTTCTGTAAAATTTGGAAAATCCACCAATTATGTAATAATGCTAATGTCTCCCACACAGGCTCCAGCTGTGTTGCCAGAGACATGTTGCATACTAATATGGGGGTTAATGCTAATAGCAGCCATACCACACTGCTTAGCAATGCGCTTACTGAATTAAAAGTACAGTGATAACCAGCAAAAATACAGGAGTCTGTAATAAGAGAGAGCTCATTCACTGTCTCACAGCAATTAACACGTACAAGCCCATTTAAAAACCACACCAGAAAAACCACACCATCTGTGGTACTGAACATTTTTACTGGCACTAGTCTAACTTAAAAATTGAGGTTTTTGGAATTGGATGAGGCTTTGAGCAACCTGGTCTAGTGGAAAGTGTCCCTGCTGATGCCAGGGGGGTTGGAACTAGATGATCATTACGGTCCCTTTCAACCCAAACCATTCTATGATTCTATGATTAATCAACTTCTTAATTAAAACCTGTCTGCTTAGTATTTTACTTAGTATTTCACCTGCCCCTAAGAAACCAACTTGGACAATTACAGGATAAAATATTAAAGTCTGAGACTTAAATATAGTCTCCAACAGAAAAAAATCTAGGTGAAATTTCAAAAAGCGAGCTCTATACCAAAAAAACAGGTCTCTGTTTTAGAACATTAATTAAGTCACAGTCTTGTCTTGAAGTAACCTTAAGTGCTTAAGAGTCAGAAAATACAAACAAAAGTTCCGTAAATAAATAAAAGAAGGCAAAAGCACAGTAACACACACAAAAGTATTATCAGTGTTCTGGGTAATTGCTGTTCTTGTCATACAACGTCGCCCATATCCCAGGCCGATGTAGTAAGTCCTCTGTATAAAGCCTATCACCTACCCTCGAGTCCCTACTTTAAGAAGGTACCTAATTCTTACAAATTTCAGTGATGCTCAGAAGCTCCCCAGTGAAACTGAAGGAAGATGCTTCTGCTGACAATAGTATCGGGAAATACTCCTGTTAATTATCATTTTTATTGCTACAGCATAAAGTCTGGCAGCATGAAAAAGGTTAAACCAGTCCCAATACCCACCAGTACTGAGAGTTGAGAACACACATTACTTTTCTTACCGTATCTGTGCAAGTAATACTATATTTCCATTACGACAATTTTGCTCTCTTGATTGGGAGGCTCTTACTTGGACCAGTCTCTTACCTGCCTTATTTTTTATTATCAGCTACGAAGCTTTCTGCAATCCCCTACCCACTCAGTAAAATAAGCACTCTGCAGACTGCAGGGTGGCTGCAGGACCACAACGGAGAAGCCTGTACACCAGGCACAATGAACACGGGTAGGCTCTTGTTCAAAGAGAAGTGGCATAGCAGGCACAGTAAAGTCTCCATGGGACTTACTAGACTAGCCTGGCATACCTCCATGCCAGTGAGGCCATCTGGTTATAGCACACAGCTAGTTTAGGGTACAAAAGTCTGTCTGTGTTGGTCAAGCAGACATCCCTAGGGAATCCTCACCCTTAATACTATTTTTTTCCCAGATCAGAGGATGCCTCCTTTGAAAGTATCATGGAGGAAAACCACTTGTTGCTAAGAAAAGCCGAGGTATTTTCTTCATTTGCACAGACGAGGATAATGACTCCTTTTCCTAACAAGTTTGTCCCACTTTTCAGATAAAGATTGTTGTGGTTGCAAACTTAAATACTCAGCTAGGACTAGGTAGTATTTTCAAATACCTCAATTACTTACTGAAAAATCTGGGTTTGATCAACAGAGAATTATTCATACCATTGAACTGAAACTTTCCTACTTTTCATAAAATAATAATACACACCATGACCAAAAACAGCCCTGGTGTCAAATGCAATGAAAATGTAATTGCCCCATACAAAGCAGAGCAGCATCAGCAGGACAGATTCAGGAAACTGCTTTCAAAACACTATTACAGTGGCTAAAAAATAACTTAATATTTGGTAATATAGGTTCAAATTCCTTCAGGTAGAAGAGATTATTAAAGACCTCTCCAATATGTTAGCAGTTCCAATCACTGTAGCTATACCCTTCTCTTTCACATACAATGTATTACCTCTGGTTCATCAGCTGAGAGATCCAAAACAGAATTTTAAAAAGCATGTTACCATTTCAGTAATTCATTTAGAATTATTTAAAGTTAATGGATTTACATGTTTATATTAATATAAGTTTAACTCTACTCATTCCAGTACCTGAAGGGGGCCTACAAGAAAACAGAGGAGAGACTTTTTACAGGGGCAGATAGTGATAGAATGAGGGGTGATGGCTTTAAGCTGGAAGAGGGTAGGTTTGATTAGACATTAGAAAGAAATTCTTTACTGTGGAGGTAGTCAGACATTGGAACAGGTTGCCCAGAGAAGTTGTGGATGCCCCCTCCCTGGAAGTGTTTAAGGCCAGGCTGGATGAGGCTTTGAGCAACCTGGTCTCAACCTAGTGGAAGGTGTCCCTGCTGATGGCAGGGGGATTGGAACTAGATGATCTTTAAGGTCCCTTCCAACCCAAACTATTCTATGATTCCAACCTAAAAAAAGAAACACATTCTTCACATATGCTGATACATTTTATTAGTAAGAGCCAGTATAGCTAGCAGTTTGAGTAAAAGTCTGATTGATCCACTCAAATTGATTAGTGTAGCCTTTTGGATTACTTGTATATAGTACAATAACTACAGTAGATAAATGAATACAAGCATTCTACTACAAAAGCATATATAACTGAACTTGAAAGTTCAGTGATGCTTTTGAAAAGCAGTTATACTACACTGAGGCACTCTGTTGATTTAAAATATAGGCATACACTTAGAAGTGTAAACTTACTAGAAGTAAACTCAGAAGTTATTTTCGTAACTCTTTTGTCCTTTTTAAAATATAGTATATACAAGTCCTAAAGAAACTCTGCAGCATACTTATATAATTACTAAGCCCCCCATAATGAAGAATAAAATAGGTCTTTAATATTTACTAATTCTTGCTGAAAAAAAGTAATTTTCAATGGGCATTATTTATGTTCTCTGAAAACTTGTTCCTTTTCCAATTAAGGGCCTGCAAGTTAGCACTTACTTAAGCCTTCATCTAGAACACAGAACTGTTCATAACTATGCTGGGAATATCCTACCAGAACAGGGAAGCCAGCATAGAATATACAGTAACAAAACCTATTAAAGCACAACAGTGAAAGAAAATAAACAGCTGTGCTTTGCAGTGCCAGAATAACACTAACAAAACATCGAGTTATTCAGTCATAACAGTAAAAATACAGTGTTGCCAATGCAGTTTGCACATAAAATTGGGGGGTTGCAACCACCTCTGGATTATACTCTTCCACTCACTGCCTAAATTATACCAGTAAAAGCTTGATGTGCAGCACAGCTGTAAAGATGTATTTAATTTCACATGTGGGCAGCCCTGGTGAAGGAATTGCTTGCATGCAAAGAATTGAGCATAAGCAAAGGTCTTCATGAAAAATCATTATCTTAGAGTGTAACTATGTTTTATTTTTAATTTAATTCCATTTATTTTTATTAGCAAGTTTTATATTATTTTTTTAAAACTTCTTGAACTGTAACAGCTCTCTAAATCACTCTGGTATTTAATCATTCTAATTGTTACTATGTAGTATTACTTATGTATAAATACGTAACAACTACATTTGAAATATGAATGCAAAAATACATACAAGTGATTCATTAGCTTTTCTTTCCTCTTAAAAAAAATCGTTTCTTATACAGAACAAAACCAACAAAAAACACCCATCCCAAAAATAACCCAGCCACTTTCACACCTTTTATGCAAAATTCCAGAAAAGGTCCATTATTTTAATCACTATTTTAAAATTTACTGCAGTGAACTCAATGATTCCACTAACAGGTGACGTACAAAGCAGTACAGGATTTACCCTGGAAAGCAGAAACTATAATAAAAAGATCCTAATCCAAATTACTGCTACTGCACCTGCTGATATTTAAACAAAATAGAAAAGAATAAAGTGTCCTTAAACAATGGGGAAACTGATCTCCTCATAAAGTACAGTTGCCTACCCATAGCTGCAAAGGACAAACAGGAATACGTTTATCAGGACTGCCAAGATTACTTTGCAAGCTTTGTTGAATTTACCACAGTTATGGTGGAACAGAAGCAAACAAATGGGCACATATGCAGGTTTTGAAACGACCTATTAAAACTGTCAGTTCTCATCTTAATTAAGTATAATAAATCAAAACAGCTACAAAGCAGATTCTCACGTTGCCTGAATCTGCAAGAACCTGTTTTTCAGCAGAAATACTATGACAGTAGGTGATGTTCTGGCTTGAAATCTTATAAAAACATTATATATGGTAACAAAACATTTTGCATACTGTTTTGTTCTCCATAATCTTTATGAATTCTTTTCAATTATAAAAGTGAAAAATATTCAATAGGATCCCTCTGTTCTACTGGAATACTTCACACTGGCAACTGAAAAATAACAGCAGAAGCAAGTAATTTGCAAATCTCACTTTGCCAACTCTTAATCTGTAGTTTAATAGTCTATTTAAGATAAGGCATCTATTAATTTTCCTCATTTTAAGATTACCTACCAATTATATTAATTTGCAACTAGCCTATATATATATATAAACAAGAAAGCTACAGAAATAAAATAAAATAAACACAATACTTATAATGACCATACCTAGTAATAAGAACCGCATTATCATGGTGGGCAATCCCATTTTCTGGAATGGTGTTTCCATCACTTTGGTGGGAGAGAATGGATTTCTGCCACTTACAGAAGCTATCGAGGGACTTGTCTGCATGGTGGTTTATCTCCAAGTTTGGCTGCAATACAACATGCATACCAGAAATGTTCCAAACAAATTACTAAGGTCAGTTGTTAAGCCTTTTGAAAACTAAAATGGGACTATAATTAGAAGCAGTGGTTTCTAGGAATAAACTCTTCTTGCTAAATTTTATCTCTCTAAAATCTGACCCCAAGTTCAGCTGTGTATTACTGAACAGGCATTCTTTCTGCTCCAACTTTAATACCGATTATGTCAATACAAAAAAACCCCAGAATATCAAAATCTAAATCTAAAAATAAAACTGACATCTCAGGAGATGTATTAATATTCACCTGAAGTAAGAACAGATATCTTTGAGATGATATGTGAGGAATATTCCTTTGAACTGTTTCATCTTGGTTAAAGTAGTGAAAGATTACAAGATAGGTTTTGTACTCAGATGCAGCCATTTCAAGCAGTAATTAAATGAGCTCTATATTGCACAATAACATAACTTGTATCTCAGGGCTACACAGCTTAGCACAACAGCTCTTACCTGATCTTCAGTGAGGACAATTAAACGTGTCACTATAATATTCACAACGTTTCCTAGACTGGAATCACGATAAAGTTTGGCAACCTGACCTCCAGAAAATAAGAAAAGGCACAAAGTCAGACAAGAAACATTACCTGTTTCCTAAATAGTTAAAAATTAACCTATTTTCTCGCTCAATGTAATTTCACAATGTTGATTATCATTATCACCTGAATAAGAGTTATTTTGGAACCAAAAAAAGACCATTCATTCATAAAACAAACTTACTGTGTCATACTTCTCAAATAAAACTGTTTATACCTTGTTTCATCATTCATCCAGCACAAGGAGCATTTAGACTGTTGACTTAATCAGAACAGAACTGTATAATCTAAAAAGCATCATATGAATTTGCAATTAAAGACAAACAATTTAAAAGTGACCACAGCATACTTCTTTACAGAAACAGTGATGCATTTTTCCCACAATGCTAACATTTGCAATATTTCAACTGTTAATTCCTGCAAGCTAATACATATTTTAAAGCATTAATCATTTCAATAAATAAATGCTTTACAGTTGCTTTATCATTTCTGTACATGTGTATTGATATGAACACAGAGAGGGATGAAACTTACAATATTCATTACACTCAAAATGTAGTGTTCAATGTCTTTGCGACCATGGTATCCCACCATCATTTTGTCTGCTACTACCAGCGTTTCCACAAAGCGTTCAAGGCTTACTGATCTCTTCTGTCGACTACGACTACTTAACGTGTCATTGACTGGAAGTGAAGTTGGAACAGCAGATGTATCACTCATCCACCAAGGTCTACCACTTCTTGTGAGGTCTTCTAGGAACCAAAATAATTAAACACTTCAGAGGGGTCACTAGAAAAACTCATTCAAATGCAGCTATTTTATGTTGAGATTATAATCTTCAAGCATCTAAAAATAAATCTGCCTTGAGGCAAAGAAAAATTAAATTTATTATCTTTTTTTTATTATTTCAAATATCTTATGTAATGAAAAAACAACTCTGAGTTCCAATATTCTCAACTCTCCTTAACTTGACTTAGGATAATAAAACATCAATCTTCTCCCAGCAGATCTGATCCTGCACTTCTATGTTAATACTAAAGATTAGTTATAATTAAGCACAAGCACACCTCAGAATTTTAAGGATAAGAACAAGACAGCTGTCACATTTGGAAAAAACATACTGGAAAACAGAAATTAAAAAGCAAGGCAAAAGGTATCAAAATATACTAAGGAATTAAACACACTGATAAAGCATCAAAAAAACTTTTTCCCCTCCAGTGAAACTCCATAATTACTAGGCAATTATGCTTGCATACCTAATACTTTTCAGGCCAAATAAATTAATTTTCTCTTCAGAAAGACATCAGATAATGTTTTATCTACCTCAAGAATTAAAAATAATGGGAAGTTTAAAATGGCCTGACATGGGATAATTGCTATAGTCATTTTTAACACTGATTTTAATTAAAATATGTTGATTCTTGTACTTGTTTCACACAAATATATTAAAAAAAAATCTTGCATGCAAGAGATTGATTATTAAAAATCCAAACAGCTATAATTATCAGCAAAACAAACACTACAAACTTACTTTGAATTTTAATTTCTGTCCTCTAAACAAAATTGAACCTGCCCTTCCCTGCAAAACTGGCATTTTCATGTGTATTAAATACGCTTTTACACCAAGGCCCACACAGCTTTCAACCTTCATTTTATCAAAGTGCATTATTAGTCTGGTTTTATCTAAGTAGGATTTCCAAACATCTACAGTGTTCTTGCTCGTTATGGATGAACATAAGAACATTAACAGATATATTTATAATTGTCCTAACAGGACTGCTCAAGTGAGCAATGTCTGAGATGTATCCTTCCCCCTACTAAACCAGGTTCAGCTAAGCTTGAGTTGAGAAACGATTAGTACCTTCTGTGAAAAAGAAATCCTTTATGAAATTCAACTAAGCACGCTATTTTCAAAGAGCAGTAACTACACCACAAAGAATGTATGTTCAGCTGAAAACCAGGAACACAAAGCTTCAGCATTTCCACTGTTGCAGTGTTTCATAATTTTTGAGGACACAGTGTTGGCTTTAAAAGGTGCATATTTTAAAAGTCAAAAAATGAAACCAAATCTGGTAGCTGAAATGAAAGAATGCCAGTAACAAAGTTGTCCTCTGCAATGGGTATGATCAATTCTAAAAAACTGTATCAAGTATTAAAGCCTGTTGAGGATTCTACAATGAATACTAAGCTTTTCCCTGTTTTTCATCTCTATTGTAGGAAATGGTTGCTTTAATTGTTCAAAGATTTTCATCACACTTAAGCAGTGATTTAGGAATGTCTGGAATTTTCTCTGGCAGCTTCTGTACTAGAATTTTAAAAAATCCACTTTTCATTTTCCAGTAACAAATGGTGATGCTTGAGGGTTTCCAATGCTATTAAAGTGCCAGAAGTAGTTTAGAAATGCAGTACTGCTTCCACATTCATTCATAATTTTTCACTGAAAGATGCAAATCTATTCTAAACATTTGAAAACTGACAAGCTCATGTAGGAAACTTTCAGAGAAAAAAAGAAATTATTATTTTGGACTCATCTTGATATCGTCTTTCAAACAAGGGTCTCAGAAGACTTCACAAAACCAAATATTTTTCCTTTTCTTATCAGATGAGAAGCTTAGGCTTCAGCTGGTCTCAAAGTAAAGGGAAAGCTGGAAAGAATCCTGAGTACTTAGGTTCATTTTTTACTTTTTTTTTACTTTACTTTTACTGTTTTACTTTAAAAACACTAAATAGTGCTGACTTTTTTTTTTAAAAAAAAAAAGCTAAAACATGTTAATAAAAGTTTGCCATATATTTAACAAAAATAGTTCTGTGGCAATATTCCCACCAAATTCCTAGATTAAAAAAGGAATAAAATAAACTTTGTTAACATCTAACACAGCTATCAGGAAGTAAAAAAAGCAAAAATGGAAAGAAGGAAGGAAGGAAGGCAGGCAGGAAGGAAAAAAAGGCAGGGAAAGAAGGAAGGAAAGAAAGAAACCTACAGAAAAAAGAATGTAGTTAACCCCAAAATAATGATTACAAAAGCAGAGAATTAGGTTTTACATTGCAACTGAAAACAAATCCAAATGTGAGCAGACATGGAGTTCACAGGTACAGTACCCAAGTTCTCCTAAATCAGTCCTCTAAAGATGTTAGGTGAGGGTGAAGGTGGAGAGAGAGGAGAGAATACAAATAGGAAAAGATCTGAAAACACAATAGAAAGCTACTAGTGTAAAATGTAACTACAAGAATATTTTGAAGTGAAGCATTATGTGCTGCTCTTTTCTTACTATTTTAACATCATCTTTTAATGTATATATAAGCATTTTTTCATTGTAGAATACACAGACTGTAAAGTCTGGCATGAGTAAAACCACTACATAAAGCAGCATACAGTAGAGCTATCCCTAAATAATCTGCCACTCTGCGGCTTTCATATGTCAACTTTTATTGTTTCTCAATCCTATCCAACACAGCATAACCCAGTGGCCTCAAATCCCACCCAAGCAACTGGAATTTGAGAGTGGTCAATGTCTTACCAAGGCCTCAATGATTTCAGCTATATTTAATAAAATAGTTAACTTCATGACAATACATGCATGAAATAGTAATTTAATATTTTTTATTTTTTAAACATTCTTATGTCCAAATGCTTAAAATCTAATTCAAGTTACGAAAATCAATTTCATGTTCTTATCTGAATCTTCCTGCCTCTCTAATTCTTCTCTTTTATTAGCCAACATAATTCTACTATCTACTATGAAGTAGTCCATCACTTGCTCATCCCAACCAATTCTGATCACCCTGTCACCAAATTACCCATCCCACTTTCTATCAATTATTGCAATTTTTCTCAGAAAGGTCAGAAATAACACTCCCCTTCTCTCTATCAACACTTCAAAATCCTGACCACTTCCCTGATACAAAACAGGTACACAATAAATTTAGGTCTAGATTACATGGAAACTTGCCAGACCGTGAACAGTGGCACAGCTACGCAAGCAGATTCCTCCCAGCATATTATACTGGCAATATGGTTGTGAAGGTAAAGCTACAATCACTCTCCAGACAAAATAAATGATATAGTGACAAAAGGCAGCTACAGGTTTGTTATGACTGCGTTTTAAAACAAAAAATTGTACTGCTCAAAACTTCCAAAACCAGTCAAATGCCCTGAAGATTCAGTCTACTAGCAAAATAAGTTATTACTGTAAACCTGGCTTTAGTCTTAGGGTCTGAAAACTGTGAAACTGAAAATTAATATTTTATTTTACTTTTCAAATATTCTGGGGATGCTTTGGATGCCAGGTCACTTTGGGATAAAGCTGCTGCAACAGTACTCAGAAAATGAGTTCAAAAGATTTCGGTACCCGTCAGAAGTACATTAAAATGGCACATCATCTGGAAAAGCAAGATCTTGCAGTTTTGGGGCAGAGCCATTTTTTTCAGAAATTTTCATGAAGTGGAAATAGTATACGGAACAACAGGAAAAGGAGAAACTGAGATGAATGAGTGCGAAAGTAGTCTTAGGCTCATAAAAAGCAGTGTTTTAGTATTTCAGTAATTAAGAACTTCAGGATATGACAGATACAAAAGCTCAGGAGATGCACAGGAGCTTCCAAGAAGTAAGGCAGCTTCAAATATGCAAAAGCATACACGCTAAAGATTACTGCATGTTCTACAAAAAATGCATGCAAGATAGGTCTGATGAACCTGTGATCCATACGACACACACTGCCAGAAGGACTGAATGCAACCTGACCAAACTAGCAGCCGCTGCTTCACCCTTACTTGGAGCAGAATGACTTCCTAAGCACTAAGCTAGACGATAGCATCTGACAGAGGCCAATATCCTTTCTTTTTCTAGGGATATAATAATGGTAAAAATTGTATCATCCTACATTTCATAATCCTTCCACTTATTTCAAGAGGCTTAAGTGACAGTTTTCCCTACAAAACAAACACACATTAGTCCTCTCATTTTACAATCAGTTAGCAGGCAGTAATAATTAAAAGACTTGTTTTGCCATATTAGAAGCACACAGGTGGAGTGATGCTTCCAAACTAAAACAGAAGTTACATACACAAAGGCTGACATACCCTAAATGCAGTTAACTGAAATACTCAGGAAAAACTGTCTCTCAAGCATGGGTCTTTGTAGACAATCTGTAGTGTAAATTTAGTCAGCTGGTGCCAGTAAAAGTTACAACCTTCAAAAGACGCTGAAATGTTACATCAATGAACAGTGATATTATTTTATTTTAAGATTAGTATTTGTCAGCCTGCTCTGTGCACTGAGTCTCATGGAATACAACTGTCCAGGATTGAACTTTTAAGAACAAGCTATTTCTGAAATATAAACAAATGACAAGGTTACAATATTTTTCTGTTATGTAAAAAACCATTATTTCAGTGTTCTAAAATAACATGTCAGATTTATTCCATGCTGTCTTCAATAAGTTAGTTTTCAGCTTCAGTTTAATCAAGTGAAAATCATGTCAAAGAGTACCTGAAAAGACTATTTGTGGAAGTTAAAACTGCTTTACAAGGAAAATATCTCCCAATCAAAACTATATAATCTCTCCCACAAGGCACCTGTAAATCCTGTATTCAACTATTATGGAATAATGTTAACTTACTTTGCCAGTACCAAAATACCATAAGCCTTCATAAATGAGAAAGATGTGTACTCTAGTTACAAATGTATTACTAATAGTAATAGTAACACATTTACTGCATGTCAAGCTTCCTCAAATGAGATGGAACACTTACTAAACATTGAGCTGTAATACTCAGTCATTCAGTCATGCTTTCCAGCTGGGGAACGAAGTACATTTATAGCACATTTTGAGGAAGCCTGTGCTCATTACTATCACTGTATGCAACCCAGGCATAAAGCAAGATTTACTCCCAGTGTATCAGTTCTTGAAAGACACTATACTCTTGAACTGAATCTGAAAAAGAAGCAAAACTACTTTTCAACAAGGCACACTGCATCACCCAAAAGGAAGATTACCATTGCTACATTCTCCATTGTGTCTTACATTTGAACCAAGCAAAATTTTAAAATACATCTTAAGTTGTAAAATTTTAAAAGGAATTACAGTCATACTCATTTACCTGAGACTCCACAGTGACTGTGATCATAGAGATGTAGCTGGTGCATGGTAGATTTTTTGTATATAACATGAGGATGACCATTCTCATAATTGAAGTTAATAGAATCTTCTGTTATATTCCTTAAAGGCTCAATAAAATACTCTTCATCTTCTGTAGCAATTACTCCATGCTTAAAGAAGAAAATAAGAAAATAATAACTTGCAAAATACAATATAAAACTCCTATTAAAAAGCTTGACTTTAAAAACCATTTGACTATCATCTGTCTATGAAGAAATCCACAACTACAGGCCAACACAGAAAACAACGCATAAGCCAGCTCTCCTACAGTGATTCTAGTGGGAGCAGGAGTGAGTGCCTATAAGCAACACAATGAGAAACTCCTATTTCTGGAGTTCCTGCCCATAATTTTTGATGGATGTGGTAAGAAAGCAAGAGATATTCTTGGTATACGACAAATAATCACTTCACAAAGATGCCCCAAAACTACATGATTCATATCTATTAAAAGTTATGCCAAGCCAAAATGGCCTTGCTCAAGTGGTGAGGCCAATATGGGCGAGACTTATGATGCCATACCGGTAGATGCTTAAAGTCACATAGCCAAAAACAGCTTGAAGATTTTGAATGAACATTCATTTTAGAACACATATTCAGGGAAACCATTCAGCATTTTACATCCAGATGCTTAATTCCAAAACTGAGCTAGTTATTACAATCAAATTATTAATATTAACTTAGGATATACTATCTACAAAGCATTTATTCCTTAAAAGGTCTTGCCACAAATCTGGCAAATCCAACTTGTTGCAGACTGTGCACTAGACCTCATTCTCGCTAACAAATCAACATTTTTTTCCTCATACCGCAGTGCAGAATAGTAGATATTCTATGCTCATAACTTTCACATTTGTGAACTCAGCTTCTTCCAAACAGGAAGTGGTTTATGGAAGAAAGGGGAGATTTCAGGCCAACTATGCAATTTCCTGAAACTTCAGCAATTAAAACTGAACTTTAGCAGAAAATACAGTTTTTGGATCCTCTCAAATATAGAAATATTGGGGAATAAGCCCTGACAGACTCCTACACCTATATTTGCTAAATAAAAAATTCTGGCATACCTATCTAGAAAACTCTGAATGTATAAACTTTCTACACTAGGAGAAAGAGCTGCTCATCAGGTAGGAGACTGGAAGCAGGAGCTTCTGCATTCATACCCTGATTTGATAAATCACAAACTTCTACAGCATCTTTGATCTGTAAAGCAAGTACTATGCATGAACCTTTTTTTAAAGGGGTTATTTTCTTCCTCTGATAAGACTTCTACAATCATCCATAAAACCACTTGCTTCATACCTGCTCCAAGTATCCTAAAGCTGTTTCTAAGATCAGGGCTTGCCTTTGTACTCTTGATCAAAGCTCTCGTTCTGCTGCTGTTTTGTACATTAAATGCCTGCTGTTCTTCACTCTTGGAATAACTGGGTTTCAGTAACAACATAAAACTTACAAAATAAAAAATCCTGTATAACACATCAGAAAGAACAGTGTTTTCCAAATACAACCCTATTAAAGATTTTGAAAACGTATGTATGAACACACTGTAGCTTTCAATTACACATTCCTTACATAGTGATTGTAACAGGAATTGTCCCTCTTCAGTGGTACTTTTCATTATGAACTCAATTATTATTTACTCAAGAAGGTAACATCAGGGTCTATATTAACCTGAAAGATGCTAGTATCAAATTCCTCTCAAAATACCTTCTTGTTACTTGGAGTCTAAGATTTTACTAGAAAATATATAATTTACTTGTACATTGCTGCTTAAATAGTATTGAAAATATAAACCAAATTTTAACTAGGTTTGCCAGATATGCAGAAAGAACCTTGACAGTCTGGACTGCATCCAGTCTGGATGTCAGACATCTGGGTTCAAGCAAATCCTGAGCCATTATAAGCTCTGGTATTATGTTCCCACAGGAAGACAGTCCTGCAGAGTGGTTCTGGGCAACACCATTGGGCTGTCCGCTCCATGCCAAGCCTGAGGAGACAGGGGTACCATCCAACCTGAGGCTCTGTCTCTGCAACAGAGCAGGTCTTAACCTATACCTGATTACTCCAGAGCATACATCCCTCACATCTCTACTCAAGTCCAGCCAGGGTAACAAGTCTAAGCATGCATGAGACATTTATATCAGATACTGAAACTAATAGTTTTAAGCAGTGAGATGACCTCAGTGGGAGTGAGTCAATTCAGATGCCATAAACAACACTTAATTGCGGCATTACTTTGCTTTACAAATTGTGTATTTGCAGGAGCAAATATGCAAAAACTATTATGACTGCCTGCAAATGATCATCACAGTTCCTTCAGGTGTGATACTCTTCTAGTATTTTTACCAGCAGTGAAAAATGTTAGGAGAGTATCACTAATTTTTCCTGTGCCTAGTTGACATCTGATATCATCTGCCCAAACATTATGGTGGTTCAAGAAAAGAGAGATTTTAATAACATTTAGTTGAGAAACTGCAAATAACTTTTAACTTACACCTACCATGAGGTGGTCAGAACATGTATGTGCAGAACATGCTGCAGACAGTCAAGTCATTTGACAAACACTGGAAACACACTTGCCCTGCACGTCTTTCACATAAGCTCAGCATACATATACCATTTTAAACCTAACATATTAATTTTGCTTGCAAACAAAACTGTTCTTCCAATATTAAACCGATGCAACTGGTCTCACTGAATCGCGATGACTGATTTTTAAGAAGCACTCTGAATTCTGTACATAAAAAGTAATTATGTCAGTGACAACTAGCATTTATTTTGAGTTTAAAAAATTTATGTGGCTAGACACAGTTGCCCTGTACATGCATTCAGCAATGCCTGATTAATAAATAGTGGGAATTATGCTATTATAGCCAAATCAACATTCTAAACCCCATTTTTTGGCTTATAACCTACTATTTGAGTAGAACACAATTTCAGTTTAAAAAGGAGATTGAAATAATGCCCTTTTAAAGCATTAAAAGGATTTATTTATTTATTAGTGTTGCTATTGTATTTGAAGTTTGTACATTAAACTTCTGCTCCAAAGCATAACAAATATAATTAAGAGATAAGAATGACCAACAAAAAGTTTTGACAAATACTATGACTTCAAGAAACAAGCTGAATGCCCCAAGTAGGTTATTACAAGCAACATTCCCAAGATTATTATCTAAACCAGATTGTTTGAGGTCCTGTGTTATCCAATCCCACTACAGACTGCCAACTCCTGCTAACATATATAAGGTCTGGATCCAGCAGTTTGACATGCTCAGACAAATCTGTGAACGTACATGGAGTTCCCCTGACTTTGTGAAAAGAAATCTTTTTCTCTCAGGCTGTCCAGCTGGGACTTTAACTTCCTCCAGATGGGGGATGTCCATCAGTTGCAGAAGCAAACTGAATCTCTGGGAGCAGGCTGGCCAACTTGGTGAGGCAGGCTTTAAACTGAAGGACTTTGGGTGGGGCCCAAAACGTCAATGCTCCTGCCATCACAACCAACTGTTGTTTGAGAAGTTTGAGAAGAAACTTCTTGACAGTAAGGGTGCCAGAGCACTGGAACAGGCTGCCCAGGGAGGTTGTGAAGTCTCCTTCTCTGGAGACATTCAAAACCCACCTCAGCGCCTTCCTGTGTAATTTCATTTAGGTGTTCCCGCTCTGGCAGGGGGGTTGGAGGAGATGATCTTTGGAGGTCCCTTCCAATCCCTAATATTCTGTGATTCTGTAACTGGGGAATAAACCAGGCCAACCAGAGCAGCAATAAATGTTTCTTAGCTGCCTCCCATGATGAGAACCAGAATGGCAACCATCCCAAGGGTGTGTATGGCTACAGTGGGATTCCTGCAGCTCTCCAGGGAAACCTACATGCTCAAATACCTCTCTGAAACATCTGTACACCAGTGTACACAACACAGGGAACAAACAGGAAGAGCTAGAGATCTGTGTGCAGTCACAGGGTTACAACCTTACTGCAATTAGAGCAACATGGTGGGATGGCTAGCATGACTAGAATGCTGTTATGGATGGCTATGTACTTTTTAGAAAAGACAGGCCAGCAAGGTGAGGTGGTAGAGTTGCTCTTTATGTGAGAAAACAACTGGAACGTACTGAGCTCTGCCTCTGGGGTGGATGAAGAACAAGTCCAAAACTTATGGGTGAGAATCAAGGGGCAGGTTAATATGGGTGATGCTGTTGTACGTGTTTACTACAGGCCACCTGATTAAGCAGAGAAAGTTGATGAGGCCTTCTACAGACAGCTGGAAATAGCCTAACAATCACAGGCACTGGTTTTCACGGGGGCCTTCAACCACCCTGGTACAACACAGCTAGGGACACATAGTCCTGCAGATTCCTGCAGAGCACTGATGATATCTTTTTGGCACAGCAAGAAGCAACATGAAAAGATGTGCTGCTGGACCTTTGTATTAATAAACAAAGAAGGTCTGGTTGGCAATGTGGAAGTCGGGGGCAGCCTTGGCTGCAGTGACTACAAGATGGTGGAGTTCAGGATCCTGCATGGGAAAAGTAGAGCAGTAAGTAGGATTGCAACCCTAGAATTCAGGAGAGCTAACTTTAGCCTCTTCAAAAACCTACTTGGAGAAACCCCATGGGTTAGGAGTCTAGAAGGTAGGGGCCCCAGAGAATTGGTTAACATTCAAGCACCACTTCCTCCAAGCTCAAGAACAGTGCATCCCTATGAGTAAGAAATCAAGCAAAGGAGGCAGGAGACCTACATGGATGCGCAGGGAACTTCTGGAAAAACTCAAATGCAAGAAGGAAGTTTACACAATGTGGAAGAAGGGACTGGCCACTTGGGAGGAATATAGGAATATTGTCAGCCTATGCAGGGATGCAACAAGGAAGGCCAAGGCCCACTTAGAATTGAATCTATCAAGGGATATCAAGGACAACAGGAAGGACTTCTTTAAGTACATTGGTAAGAAAAGGAAGGCTAGGGAGAATGTGGGCCTGCTGCTGAATGAGGTGAGTGCCCTTGCAATGGAGGATACAGAGAAGGTGGAGTCACTGCATGCCTTCCTTGTTTCAGTCTTTACTGCTAGGGCTGGCACTCAGGAATCCCAGACCCTAGAGGCAAGAGAGTCTGGAGAAAGACAGACTTTCCCCTATTCAGTGATGACTGGGTTAGAGATCATGTGTCAAACTCGACACCCACAAATCCATGGGGTCTGATAGGATGCATCCATGAGTGCTGAGAGACCTTGTGTACGTTACTGCTAAGCCACTCTCCATTCTTTGAAAGATCCTAGAGAAGAGAGGTGCCTGAAGACTGAAGGAAAGACAGTGTCACTCCAGTCTTCAAAAAGGGCAAGAAGAAAGACCCAGGAAACTACAGGCCAGTCAGCCTCACCTCCATCCCTGGGAAGGTGCTGGAACAGTTCATTCTGGATGTTATCTCTAACTAGCTGCAGGAAAGGAAGGTTATCAAGAGCAGTTAACATGGATTCACCAAAGGGAAATGGTGCTTGACCAATCTGATAGCCTTATATCATGGTATGACTTGCTGGATAGATGAGGGAAGAGCACTGGATATTGTCCACCTCTACTTCAAGCAAGGCTTTTGACATTGTCTCCCATAAGTAAGCTCAGAAAGCATGGGTCAGATGAGAGGACAGTGAGATGGATTGAGAACTGGCTGAAGGGCATTGCTCAGAGGGTTGTGATCAGCAGTGCAGTCTAGCTGGAAGCCTGTAACCAGCAGTGTTTCCCGCGGATCAGTACTGGGTCAGGTCTTGTTCCACATAGTCATCAATGACCTGGATGAAGGGACTGAGTGTACCGTCAGCAAGTTTACTGATGACAGAAAACTGGGAGGAATGGCTGACACACTGGAAGGCTGTGCTGCCATTAAGTGAGACCTAGACAGGCTGGAGAGCTGGGCAGAAAGGAACTTAATGAAGTTCAACAAAGGCAAGTGTAGAGTCCTGCACCTGTGGAGGAATAACCCCAAGCACCAGTACAGGTTGGGGGTTGACTTGCTGGAAAGCAGCTCTGCAGAGAAGTACCCGAGAGTCCTGGTGGACAGCAGGTTAACCATGAGCCAGCAGTGTGCCCTCAAGGCCAAGAAGGCAAATGGTCTCCTGGGGTGCATTAAGAAGAGTATAACCAGCAGGCTGAGGGAAGTTATCCTCCCTCTCTACTGTGCCCTTGTGAGGCCACATCTGGAATACTATGTCCAGTTCTGGGCTCCCCAGTTCAAGAGAGACAGGGAACTTCTGGAGAGAGTCCAGTGGAGGGCTACAAAGATGATTAAGGGGCTCGAGCATGTCCCATATGAGGAAAGGCTGAGAGAGCTGGGTCTGTTTAGCCTGGAGAAGAGAAGACTGAGAGGGGATCTTATCAATGCTTATAAATACCTAAAGGGTGGGTGTCAAGAGGATGGGGCCAGTGATGCCCAGTGACAGGACAAGGGGCAATGGGCACAAAACTGGAACACAGGAAGTTCCATCTGTAGATGAGGGAAAACTTCTTTACAGTGAGGGTGCCAGAGCACTGGAACAGGCTGCCCAGAGAGGTTGTGGAGTCTCCTTCTCTGGAGATATGCAAAACCCCCCTGGATGCAGTCCTGTGCAACCTGCTCTTTACAGCTTTGGTTGCTTTAGTTGTACCTTCTTTGGTAGGGAGGGTGGACTAGATGATCTCCAGAGTTCCCTTTCAATACCTATCATTCTGTGATTCTGTGAATTACAGAGGACAAGTGCATGCCTTCTCCATAAAGTACTACTGTTTCACAGTTTCTCCATGCTTTGAATCTTTCTAGACTTTATGTTTTATCCATTTTTAATATAAAGTAGTAGTAATGGAAACTTCTGAAAACGTGCCAGTGTTGTTCAGTATGTCTACAGCTGGCTATACACTTCAGTGTGCTTTTATGACTGATGAAAAAGGTAGCATTAGTTTACTGTTTTCTTAAAGATGAAAAAAATAGTGATCTGGCCTGACATTCCAGTACATCATGGACTCTAACAAGACACCTTAAAACCATGACAGGGACAGCTTATATATTATTTTCTGAACACTAAGTCTATAGTGCAAATACATATGAGTACTAAAGAGAACTTCAAAGACACTAGAACTCTAAATCCTTTTCAGTATAATTTCTGATCTTTATAAATTATTTTATAGATTAGGCAGTATTTTACATACAATTCAAAAACACCATACTATACGCAATTTATAATCTATTAAAGTAGATGCATCCTTTATGGTAGAATCTGCTTTCAAATGAGCTAATTCAAGAAGAATATGAATAAATTATACATATATGTATTTAGGAATACATTAAACAAATATGAAGTTTTACAGCAAAATAATTTATCATTTTACTGAGTAAGGTTATGCTTTTAGCCACAGTCTACTTCTTGTTCTTTCTTTATCATTTTTTGTTTGGATGGAGACATCTGTGCTACCCAGCACAAATGTTACTCAGTGCATGGAACTTCACTGAAGTTCACATGCCACAGAAATACTTGGCCTTTCACATCAAACATTTCCTTGGAACCAGTAATCTCAAAATGTCATTTAACCTCTCCTCCATTTTCCTAATAATAATAACTTTCTACAAATTTTAAAGTATTTCCCATTAATGGGCTTTTCAGCTCAAAATGGGAAAATCTGCTACTGTGGAAAACTTGTTTGAGCACACAGTTAAGAGCTTTGATATCTGGCAGAGGACAGAGTGGGTCAGAATGCAAAAAAGTTTGGTTTCCACCTGATTCCACTACTATGAGCTCCAAAGCTTTTCTTCTTTAAAACTTGCTCCCCTCAGAATTAGACAAACTTCTTTCCCTTAAGCTGAAGTTCTTCCTTCTTCAGCCTCTTCTTTTATTTCCTTCAGCATGACATACACAGCTTAGGCAATGCCTCAGCCTTTTTGCCTTGCATACAACATCCAAAGTCCCCAAAATGCTGCTCACTGCAGGCTCTTTCATGAGAAGGCCAAACCTGCAATCCATCCACAAATGTAATATCCACTGAAGTAAATATGAGTTTGCAAGCCAGCAAGCCTGTCGGACAAGACCTTCAATTTCCTCACATGACTGCTCACTGGATTATAGAGCTTTCCTCATAACTACAGACAATTTATAGCATAATCAGGGCCCAGCAGATGGAAACTGCTGGAATGAAACTTCAGTAAGTAGCAGCCTGTAATTCTGGGGCACTTGGTAAAGAGAAATATAGAGGGAGAGGCTGAAACAGGCAATGGTGACAGGGAAATGAAATGACTGCTCATCACTTTTATTATAATGAAACTGAGAGAAAACCCTTCTTGCACCAGGAGTCATCTCGATACTACAAGTGTTCCTCAAAGTCATATAACATGTTAATCAGATCATGGTTTCACATGACCAATTCTGAATAACTAAATAGAATAACTCAAAACATTCACTAAGGGGAAGAAATCTGACTCGTCTGGCAATATGGAAGTTTAATAGGAAAATTGGAATAAACAGAATGCTTAAATTTTGCTTCTGAGCAACACTTGCTGTTAAAGATGACTATCTGATTTAAATTTAAACTAAGATGGTAAATAACTGTGACAAAAAAGTTATTACATGGGAACTGCAAAACCAAAGTGAAAATATACTAAACTCAGATTGATCCGCTACAAGTCTGCATTAACCAAACTGTGATACCACACTCCATGGAACACCATTTTAACTGCATTTCATTTAACGTGTTCACTTAGCCCTGGAAATCTTCATTAAATTCTTTTCTCTCAAGAGTACTACAAAATGTTAACCTAGGCTATATCAGGGCTATCGCAAGTAGCTGGGTGCAATGAAGCCTATCTAGGTCTGAAGCAGCTGGCTTTTGTTTGTAAATAACATCCCAAGATGCATTATTCAATAGCACTTCCAAGGATAAATAGGAATTAGTTTAGCAAGGCTGTGTAGTATTTTTTTTCCTTAGCAATTAGTCAAATCTGTCTATTCCTAACAAGAACACCAACCAGTGTTCTACTATAATTAAAACCACAATGAAAAACTGCAATATAGAGACATTTTTACTAAAGAAATTACTGACTCTTGATTTAGTACTTCCTAGTTATGACCTTCTGTTTCAGTATTTTGTTACTCAATAGCCTATTTTCTTCAATTTTTGTGTTTGTTTCCTAATTTCCTTTGGGAAATTTTTCCCATGCAAGTACTACCGTCGTGTGATCAAGAGATCAACAGTAAAAAAGATAAGAATGAAAGATTAGCATTTCTAATCCTACTTTCAAATGCAATGGTTCACAATTTCTAAACAAAATATTTCTAAAATAAAAGGTGCATAATAACTTTCTGATGCTGGCACTTGCAAAGGATCTACTTTTCATTCTTTAATTTGTAGTAATGATTACTTCAACACCAAGCAATTCCTCTTCTCCATTACTTACTCAAAGTTTCTAAACCCAGATTCTCAAAGACAACAAGCAGGTAAACAGTTCAATCAACACGTCTCTGGAGAGATTCAGCACCCTAAAGGATCCACTGCTTCCTCCTCCTCACGCCCTGAGTTTGCAACATTTTTATAACCTGTAAGGATCTCGGCACAGACCTAATCTTGCAGCCCTAATGCAGACATTGTAAGCACTGAAAATGTTGCCTGCTAAAGGACTACAGAACTGGGTCTTAATACTTACAATTAAGCTTGAAAAACTGATGACTAATTTTCCCCAGGACCCAGATAAAGTTTTGGGGTTTTCTGCACCTTCTTGTCTGTTTGCTTCCAACAGGGACTCAAAAAACTGAACAATATGCCAATTAAGATTTTCTTCTGTAATTTAAAAGGGACAAGCACACTATTATACTAGAACATGTAATGTGCACTTACCAGACCATTGCAGTTGCTTAAGGCCACTTTAGTTGTACTGTGTTGGTCTTGTAAATATCCTGTGTAATGACAGTGGTCTAAAAAATCGTGTTTCCATTGCGGTCCATCTTTCCCCCAGTATTCTACTGTAAAATGTCTGGACACCAAATCTGTGTTGAGATTCAGGTTTAAATGAAAGTGCTTGCCATAGGCAGAAAGTTTAAAAAATAATTTAGATGCTGCCAGTTCTTGGTCATTAGGGTCTGTGCTCCTCCTCCTTCTTGAGGGTTTAGCATTTTTCACAGTAAAGCTGAGGAAGGCTCCATTTTGATCAACCCTTATTGGGATTGTTAGTTGGTAGTGTTCAAGGTAAGACAGGAATTCCTCTTTGTAATCACAAGGTAAAACAGTCCAGGGAGTGGGCATAGAAGAGAAGAAAATATAACAGGAAACAACAAGTAGTAGTATAAATATAAACCACACTTGGCTAAATCTCATCATCCTCATGAGTGAAAGTCATTTTCAGGTAAATGCAAGATGGAGCATTTTACTAAATAAAATAAAACATTATTTATTTTTAAGTGAAGAAAATATGTTCAGTTTCCTATTAATTTGATGTCACTGGAAACAAAAATGTTTTTAACTACGTATCTTCTCCTGTTTACCCAAAGTATGTCAATATTTGGGGCTAAATTCTAACCATTCAAAGACAAAAGGTATTAGATTCGCCTGCAAGAATAAAAACAGTAGTAATGAAAAGTATTATGCCGGAAAAACATGTAAACGACTATTTCATTAAAAACCTATAAATGTTAATGGATCACAGTAAGATTAGATCCATATTTTCTAGTCTAAAAACATGTTAATGTTGTTATGGCAAGTCTCTAACTATTACCAGGTACAATATTTTACTACATTTAATCTGCAGGTATTTTCTACAGTTAAAAGTAGACAGAAATAAATTAAAACAAAAAATTTAATCAGATTTGCTGTATTTAAACTTCCACAACAATGAACCATGATAAAACTATGAGCAGAGCCCATATGATCTCACGAATTATATACATGTGGTTTAGAGAACATTACTCAAATGCAATGCCAAAATAGATATTTCTTGTCAGCTACAGAGGTCAGACCCCTACCTTGAGAACTATATGAAAGCCTGTTGTCATTGTGAAACTCCGATGAAACCATGACTAGGCTCAAAATCCATGCCAACGTCTTCAAAAAAATTTCCATAATTTAGAAAAACAGAGAGCTCTTTTTTTTCCCCCCTCTCCTTGGAGAGCTACCTGCGTGCTATAGAGTTAACGCCACTCCAGAATCGCACCATAACAGGTATATTTATTTTATACTATTTCAAAATTAACTACTGGATGTTCCACTTCTTGACAGGTATTCTTTTCCAACAACCTGTACTTTCTTCTATATCTGCAGTCATTTTCTCAATTCAAAATAAGTATTTGTAAGATTCCTTAAGATATCAGTAAGACGTTAGACTGGATAGTTACTGAACTTGCTCCATTTCTTTTCCTGAAAAACAAAAGAAAATGAGTCAAGGCAAATTCTTTCTACTAAAACAGATCTACACTGCAAAACACTAAACCATCACAGTGAACTACACAATGTAATGTTTTGGAATAATAGTTAACCATTATAACTTTTATGGTCCAAGGTCACAATCTTACAAAAACCATGAATTACCATTAACCTTGAACAGCAGATCCACACAGTTTAAGATGCACATACTGACTTTAACATAAAGAGGCATAAGGATTCATAAAATTAAGATTTCTTGTTGCGCAAATACTATGTTCTGACTTGCTCCAGCTATAATCAATGCTATGCACTCGGTGACTTCAGCGGTGAACAACTAGACCCAATACACAGTTAGACAAAGGAAGAACCTGGGAAAGAATCCAGAGGACAGTTATCTGATCTTTCTGCAGCATGTATTTTGTTATTAGTTGGGCCTGGGTTCTGCTTATGCAGACAGAATTCTGATTCACTTAAATGGGAATGCTGCATGTTCTAATACCAAAGAACAAATTTCAGTATCTGAAGCTATTCATCATACACATTCTAATTTTTCAAATACTTGATGTCAAAAATATTTTCTGTGTATCTTAACTACAATTTGATGTAGCAGAAAATATTCTTATTTTCATTTTGCAGGTCACGGGATTGAGCAAATAACATGCTACTTGCCTTTTTTTTTTTTTTCTCATTTAAAATACTATTGCAGCAATACTAAAAAAGCAGCTCTAGCTGCATCCAGGGATTAAATGGAAGATCTATGCAGTCAACTAACGGTCCAGTATCATGGGATACCAAACCATGTGTTGTTTCAGCTGGTACTAATCAGTCCTCTTAAGCACTAGCAGCACACCTGTGCATAGAGCAAACTCTGCTGAGGCAGACAATGGGGAAACGGAACACCTAACAAGGGAAAACTGTTTAAAAGAAAATTTCCAAAAGCATACATAGTCATTTACACATGCACCAGATAAATTTGCCTTTCTAAAATTCTGGGAATGATTTACAACATTCATTCAGACAGGTAACACTGTGACCAGTGGATTATTTGTAAAGGTTGAAGAGTTGTAGTATATCATCTCCAGAAAAAGCATAATCATAATGCAAACCCTATTTACTAGAGCATCACAGTATTAGGGAACTCCTTTGACAATTTGAAATGCATCTAATTATTACTGTGTAAATGAGGTTAATCTGATCATTCCAATACCTACTTTTCAAATATCTATCAAGACAGCACACAGGACTTAATCAGGTTTGTAAAGGGAATAAAAGTTACTTTGCAAGTATAGCTTGGTCATAGTAGTACTTTTTTCCTGGGGATGCTTAAGGATTTAGTGACGCCATTCACATCTGGCAAGGCCTCAAAGCATATTAATAAAATCTCTGGTCTTGTCCTCCATATAAAACCTTTATTTCCTAGCTAATATTTAGTTACAGTTTTTAGACTTGTACAAGTTTTGAAGAGACATTATCAGCCTCATACTCTTCAGCTACATTAGTACACTAAATAATGTGCATCATTTCTAATCTGAGAATGTCCAGTTTCAAATTTCTGTCATTGAATCTTGCTCCTGATAAGCAGCTCAACCTATTCGGTTTACCTCCCTCTGTAAAATCCAGTTTCCAGATGTTTTAATACTTCTGCAGTTTTTTTCTGAACACTTCCCAATTTGTCATTATCCTTTTCCATGCACTGACACCACAACTGCACACTGTAGTCCAGTAATGGTTCATAACTGCCATATGCAGAGATAACATTGCCTTGTAGCTTTTACTTAGCCAAAAAATCCTAACGGGAACTCATGTTTGGCCTGTTAAGCTGATAAGTTACCCTAATATTAAGATCTCCTGAAGCTGTAGTACCTAAGTTAGCTAGCTCAGAATACTAAACATAAACTAAGTGCCTCTTATTTAGACATTATCGGTGCACATAGTGGGTGTTGGTCAACAGTGTCCAACAGTCACCTATGTCTAGTGTCTTTGCACGGGTCTGTGTGAAATGGTCTCCCTTAGAACACAGAATCACAAAATTGCCTAGATTGGAAAAGACAAGATCATTGAGTCCAATCATTAACCTCACACTGACAAGTTCCTGACTAAACCATGTCTACACACACCCAAAAACCTCCAGGGATGGGGACTCCTCCACTGCCCTGGGCAACCCATTCCAATGCCTGATACACTTTCAGTAACAAAACTCTTCCTAATATCCAATCTAAACTTCCCTTGGCACAACTTGAGGCCATTTCCTCTTGTCCTGTCACTTGTTACTTGGTTGAACAGACCAACCCCCTTATTCCAAGCTTCATAAAAAAAAAAAAAAAAAACCAAAAAAAAACAACTCCTTTCTCGTGAAGCTTGCTGGAAGTTTCAGCTGAATTTTTAACTCCTTTCCAAAAAGGAAGCCTCCTCTGGGGTCTCCAAACCAGAGACATCCAACACACAACCATCAGCTTGAGCCCTGATGCAAGTAGACCTTAATGCTCTGAATTACAGTAGTAATGGACATGAAGTATAAAGCACTCGGGTTAAGTCCAGATACAGTGGTATGAAGTGTGGTAGGAATCTCACAGCATCCACTGCCTATCGCCTTTTTTCCTTCCATCTTCCTAGGTAGCAGACATTCAACATTCCACTTCTGATTGTCAAGATGACAATACAGAAGCAACACAAAAAGAAGCGCTTCCTCTGTCTCACAGCTGAACTCCATGTTCACCCACCAGGAAAGGCATGTTCCATGTCCTGAACCTTCACCTAAAACCACAGCTCCTGCTTAGTTGTAACAGCGCTGCCAAGCAGCAGAGAAAAAGTGAGATGTTTTTCAAAACCGAGGATGCCAGTGTTGCTCAGATACTGCGTTCAGACTTGCTCCAGCCATCGTCAGCGCAATGC